GAGTTAGGGTTAGGGTTAGGGTTAGGATTAGGGTTAGTGTTAGGGTTAGGGTACACTTCTGTAGTACAAGTCTGGTACATTTTGTGTATACATATATGTACCTCGGGTACATATCTGTAGTACCTGTTACGACAACGACCCCTTGAGCAGTAGTACACTAGTCCGAGCCGAGGCAGACCCCAGTAATGGGGCTGGAGGTATGGAGAATGGGGCTGGAGGATGGGACTGGATAAACCCGCACCCTCAGATTAGCAAAGCGGAGTTATAACTAGTCTGCATTCGCAGACTAGTAGTACACTAGTAGTAGTAAGTACACAGTGGTAGTGGTACTACTACTAGTACTAGTACACTACTAGTACTACTACTACTACTGATGCTGCTAAAGTACTATTATGGTACTATTACAGTACTACTAGTACCAGGAGTAATATAATATAGGAGGAGTATAGCACTCAAAAACACGTGAAATTCAACATTTGCTTGCCTAATTTTACCGATGATATATTAATTACGTGCAACTCGATAAAAATTTCATCTAAATTAGCGTTGGACATCCACCGCACACTCAAACTTCACTTTATTTCCATACCTCTTTTTATGGAGATATAGCGTTGAACGTCACACATGGTTCGTAGCGTTTGACTATGGTGTTGGTTCACGTTTCCTAGGCTTACCTTCAAACAGTGGTTAGCCTGTGAGGAATGGTCTTGTCTGTTGACAAGAATGCCACCTGTTGGCGGCAGGAGTAAGAATATAGGATATTATATAATATAGGATAATATAGTATATGTGTGTATATATATAGTGTGTATATATATATACGTTTATATAAATAAGATAATATATATAGTGTGTATGATATAATATAGGATATAATTTAAGTCGCGTTCACATGGTCATGGTTTGGCTCGAGCCAAATGGGCTAGATTTGGCTCGGGCCGGTTGGAGTCGGCGCGTTCACGCGTACGCAAGTGAATACTGTCTGGCAAATTAAAATTAAAATAAATTTTATTGCACAAATATCTCACAGATACTTTGGCAGTATGTCGCAAGATGGCGTTGTTTACGATTTAGAGTGTTTACACACACACACACACACACACACACACACACACACACATATAAATTACTATCTTACTACTTTCTATGATACATTATCTGTTTATAATCTATTATACAACAAGTAACTATAGTATAACTATAGCTGTAATAATGAGGTTTGTGATGCTATAGCCATTAATACTGGTTAAAATTTCCTGTCTTGTTGTCATGTCAATTCTGTCTGACTAAGGTAAGTTACCATTGAATCAATGCATTGCATTAGCTACAGTGCATACAGCAAGTTTCAGAAATGTGCACATGGCATTTTGTTCGTATACACAGCTGATCAGCCAATCAAATTGCGCCATTTAGGTCACGTGATCAGATGCAGTCTAGCCATAGGGAACTTTATGACAAACCATCGTTGATAAAATCCTCAATCATCGACCCTATGATGAAATGTTTTACCAAGAGTATCATGTTTATGTCATCTTAAGATGTTTAAAAAGACACTAGAGGTAGTATTACCCTTTTTTAACATTAGTGGAATAGTTTTATCCGGCCCGATTTGGAGCCTAATTTCTTGGATTATTTATTGCACCAAGATGTCGGCGGCCCCGACCGGTGTCTCGACCTGAGGGAATAAACTCGTTTCTGATCGTCAGATCTCGATGAAACTTCGTAAGTTTATGGTTGAAACATAGTAAAACATCTCAATTTACCTCAGAATATTCTCATATATAACATAAGGAAGTATACAGCTGCTAAATTTGTCCTAAAAGTTCAACGAAATCGATCAACATGAAAACCCTATCCAATGTAAAAAATTCGAAATCGAGGCAATAGCTGGTGATTCCTTCAACGTCATACAAAGGATTCCCGTGGAATACCCAACGCGAACCAATTACAAGACCGCTTTTCATAGGATACCTCTTTGCGCGACGCAACAGGTCGTCAGCAGGAGAAACGGAGATAATTGCCACCGCTGAATGCGAATTTTGTCACATACCTACAACCTATCTAGACCACCATGACCAATTCCAATGATGGGGTCGGGGCCAATTTATGGTCTTCCTATCTACAGTCGCTTCCTAATAGGGTCCTCATTGCATTCTTCACACTGTGGGTAGTCGATGTCATCATGGTCTTGGACATATTCCCCACAATGGATGCAAATCACCTCGTATTCATCGCAAGTGAAGTACAACTTCTTTATGTGGTCACAGCAATCGTGGTCCTTCACAAAAACTTGCAGACAATGTGGCAAGTTGACATCATCTGAAAAGAAATGTAGGACTAGATATATGTAGGAGGAAGGAATGAGAAAAAGAAGACCATAGGCCATATGACCTGCCAATTGAAAAACATTGATTTTACCAAAGAGAAATCCAGAGGTGTAGTCCACATCACTCAACACTTCACCAAGATGTTCTTTCTGTCGTTTGGAAAGCTTTTTCTTGCTGAAGACAAGCCTCCACTTCTCACATTCTGTGCACTGGACCATTGTGTCGGCATTGCGAACATGCTGGACTGATGGCGAAAATTGAATTTTCTGCTTCTCCACCCTTTGTCGGGCGCGTTTGCTTGGCCTTTCCTGAAAAGTACAAGAAATGAATGGTATCGGTATAGACAGCGAGAACCAACTTTGAAACTTTACCATATATTTTTAAATGAAATTGTTGAACTTGATCTGATGATCTGCTAGTGCTATGCCATATGATGATTTAAAACCTACATCATGAGTTTCCGGGCTCGAATTAAGCGACAAGAAGGGCAAGGCAATTTTTTTAGGGCATGTGAGAAATCGCCTTGAATTTTCTCTAAAATGGAAGGGCACAGAGGCAATTTTAAAAAGCACCAAGGCAACTCTCAAAATTCGAGAAGGGCACCAAGGCACTTTTGTAAAATAAAGGAAAACTCAACAAATTAGTACATCAACATCGTCTTGCTTTTAATGTACAAAACAATATGCCCCCATGTAAGCTTACACCGTAACACCGACCCCTGTACCCCCCTCTGCTAATGGAAGTACAGTAACAAGAAATTTTACATGCCCGCTATCAGGAGCGAATAATTATCCGATGCTGTTATTATTCCCTCCTGCGACTATCGGTTTTAAGCTCATCATTGCAACTACAGCACGCACGCGCACGTGTTATGTTGATTCGACTAAAACGAAACTAGGGTAGTAGATTAAAGGGCACCGACGGCAATTACACAAAAGGGCAAGGTAGGTGACTGCCTTCGGTCGGGTTGGATTTTCAGGGGCAGTACGGCGATTGATAGGGGCACCGACGGCAATTGCCGTCGGTGAAGTCGGTTAATTCGAACCCTTACATTGAGTTTCGCCCAAGAGTTACTTGGGGCTGTGCGTAGGGCCACCAATACGTCTAGGTCCAGAGAGAGGAATCGGGCAACCATGGACAACTTAACCGACATGTACGTGCAGCGGTGATCTGGCCCTCCATCGGTATATATCAGCAGTATGGGTGGAACATCTGAAAAAATACAGGAAAGTGGAAAATACATGTAGGCCTATACTTTTAGTGAAGCTGCTGTTTTCAGGCACAGTGATAAAGTGTATCCATGGTATTCAAGGCGTTTGAATAGTACCTCCATTTCCACATGTCTGGATGATCTTTCCCAATTCCGTGGCATGCCGAAGAGCAGACGATGGTTCAAGTATAGAATCTTTGAATCTTACGTATACGTCTCTTCTGTAGAAACTTTCTCCAAGGATACTCGCTGGAATCTCAATCTGTGAAACAGAAAGAAGAACACACAACATTATTCATTGACAGATAGGGCCTATCTGATTAATAGTGATATCCACCCAACACATACTTACAAACAAGTTGACAGAAGGTGTCAGTTTCGCTTTGCTGAAGTCATGGTCCCCAACAGCCATCACCTGATTGGCACCAACAATGACTTGTTTTCCCCGTTCGGCTGCTGCAAGAGGGTAGTTTGGCTCCCCCACCTTGTACTTGTGCTTGTCATCCATTGAAACAAGAGTAACCAAATCTTTGTTCAGTAAGGCATATTCCCTCATATACCTCCAGGAGGCTGCACAGTAGTGAGCGTCAACGTAGTTTAGTCGGACCTGTAAAGAGATAATGACCATAGAGACATGAGTGCCAAGTTCAGTTCAGGAAAAAACTTTGGAGTAGAGTATACTTGCTGGGGAAAATAGAGGAAATCGGTACTACTATTTGTTTTACCTGTCGTTTCTGGACCATCATCTTGATGTTTAGGGCTCTCTTGAAATACTTGGCAGTATTAGCCCTCGGATTCACAGGTTGAAATTGATACCTCATCCACTTGACAGATGGTATGGCTGTATCGGCAGGGACTCTCTCTTTGACTCTATGGTGCAGGTCCTCGAAACTCAGTCTTTGCCAGGTAAAGCTGCTCTCCATGTCGCCGCTCATGGCAAGCAACTCCGACTTCTTCTGCGAGGTACCGCTCCGTCTCTGCGAAGAAGGCATGGAATCGGTCATCTTTCTTGGTCTGGGGTAGATGGCGCAGATCTACTAGTATCCCAGCATCTTCACTTAGCATTACATGCTGAAATCGTTTATCAATTTCACTTTATTTCAAATGAAGAGGCGCTGCTAGGTCTCCGGTCAGATCTTTGAACACTGCTCGGAGAGTCACAGAACTAGCCACAGAGCCGAAAGCAAGCTTGCACTCTCTCTGTGCTTCCGTCTCGATTAAACGCATGACCCGTGTATATTGGTTCATCTGTTCGCCTTCCGAATCGGTGTGCTGCATCTTCCAAACAAAGTGGAGGCTTCACTTATTGCCCCCGATATGGTGCACGTAATGCACACATTTGGCTTCCAAACCAGTACGTGAAAGGTCCTCCATACAGTCGTATATTCGTCGTCTGTCGGAAATTGGTGGCAGAAACTCCCTCACGGAAATCGGAGAATACGGTTTTTCTTCGGCAAGCTGTTTGTCCAAGTTCTTCAGGAAATGGTGAACAGGATCCGTGTTTTGCTTGATGATGGTTACATTCGTAGAGAGTTCAAGTTGTCTACGTGGAGTGTCTTGTGATACCTTTACTCGCATGTTTTGAGATCTGTGTTGGAGACAGTATTTTTCAACTACTGCCACAAGGTCTAAAATTTGTAATTTCACTTCTGCCCAGGGCATTTTATCTATGTAAGGAAGAGTACATTGCTTCACGTACTAGGATGGTGTGGCTTGTCATCTTCTTTTCGGATAGGTTACTTAGATTTTTCGTTTTGTGCTTGGCCAGCTCTGGGCGGTTAAATCCAGACAAGGTTGTCTTGAAAACCGGCGGGGTTCTTTGCTCAATCAAAATTTCAGATTCCATTTTCTTGAACTGTCCATCCAGATAAAACAGCATGTCTGTGAGCCGTGTCACAAATTATACTGCTGCATTTCCACAATTGGTAGGGAATGTGGCAGCCTTTGAATGAAAGTAGTCAAAAATGGCATTTCTTAGTTTGTCAATGTTGGATTTTGGGTCTTGGCATGGTTTCGGAATATCTGCCACATTGACATTTCGTGCAGCATTCATTATGATGCCAAATGCATTGGGCGGGCACTAGTGTTCAGGGTGTTCAGGTTGCATGTGCATGTTGGTGAATGCTCAACAGATATCGCGATGAAGCGCATGTTGAAGCCATTTATAATATCCATTATGTCTGTCGAACTACCTCCAACCACATTCTCTGCCAGTGCCATGGTGGAACTTGCCTTTGCCTCGATGAAATTATAGTGAGCGCAAAGCCCCCTCCCCGGCACTGGCACATTGAATCTACGAACACCATCTTTGATATCCGACCAAAGCTGGCCATATAGGTATGTTGCCTGATCAATCGTCAAAAATGTCCAGCCGGCAATAATTCGTCCACCTGGTTCAGCTATCCGGACAGCCGCTTCCTTGCTGCATGCCATGAGGATGAATCAACACTGAAAATAAAAAATAGATTGTTAAATCATTATCATACAGTATGAGCAAAATTATCCTGAATTAATACCAAGGCGCAGCCAGGCCTGGTAGGCCTAGGCCTAGCATAGGGCAGATCAGGTTCATTCACCCTAGGCAGCACCCCTTCATTCTCCCTAGGTCCATCAGGAAATTCCCAAAAAGTATTATTTCCAAATCCCATCAAAAATCACAAAGTGAAAAACCATGTGTTTGTAAAATTCAAATTCCGCGCCAAGCATCCAGCAACAAGACGTATACTGGGAAATCGCTTCTGCGCCAGAAAATATATCACGTGACCTACATAATGAAAGCAGCATGCAGACAACGCCATTGAATCCATTCTACAATCGTGTCAGATAGGCACCGTAAATCAAACCATCGGTTCATATTTTATTATCTGTGGCCTTCATCAAATCGATCTTTATGTATTCGGTCAAATATTTTCTTCCAACTCATCATTTTAACGCTATATTCATTGAGAAATACTTACGACATTCAGCATTGCAAATTTATTGACAAATCGGAGCATTTAATAATTTATGAACATCCGGGACAGACACGGCAGAGAGAATGATTTCCATTGGTCAATCTTGGCGCTATGACGAGTTCCTAACCAATCAGAGCATCTGTTACTGTATGTGGCTCAATTATAGTGTAGCAATCTATCACCAAAGTAATGTTTGCTGCTTTTGACTCGTTAGATGTAACAACGTTAAAGGGACAGTAGCCTCTAGGATTTTACTGCATACAACTGTACTTACTGTATAACAAATCGTCTATACCCACACGTATTTGTTACCAGATACCTAATTTAATTGTTATAATTAATGACACATCAACGCTACGAACTTTGAACGGCGCCATGACACCCGCGACCGTGCTGCCACCCCCAAAAAAGTTGCGTATTTGACAATTTATTTTGCACGTTACAGACCGAGGCTAATCACAAAAGTGCAATTATATTTATACCTAAATGCTATTTACCGAACGATATTCATTTTAGGGCAAATTTATCCATATTATAACTAACTATATGTCGTTTATAAGATATTACAATCTTTTTGCTTTCAAATGAATAAGTAAGAAACACCCTCGGTCTGTAGCCCTTGGCTGGAAAGTGGTTTTGCGCAACTTATCAGATCGTGCGCTTTGAGTGGCGCCACCGTCGTTGTAATCAAACTGTAGTCGTTAGTTTAGCATAATTTTTTATGTAGCGTAATTATAACCTAAATTAGCTGAAAATAACCCTAGAACTTAGAGTAAACTCTCCCTTTAAACTTCTATGGAGTACAATACGGTCGCATCATATATCGTTTATATGGCATGATATGTGCTTGAAAAATTCGGCACAATACATCTTGTCAAAAGTGAAGGGTAGCAGATAGCTTGAATAGTTTGTTTACGAATGTGGCCTAAACAGTAGTGGCAAAATTGTGGGCGAAATTCGTTAAAAGTACTTAATAACATAAATGCGGATAAGGCTACTAGTCAGGCAGCTTAACCAAATAATGTGGACGTTCCGGACAAAAGCACCAGATTTTTTTCACATGTTGCACATGGGCCTAGCAATAGATTTTTGATAGGAACCACTTCCTCCGAGTACATTATGGCGGCCATCTTGGATTTCCAACATGGCGGACATGTACAAACCTAGAAGTGCCAATATCTCCTCTTCCAAACCAGCTAGACTCAATATTGGTGTCTAAACACACATTTTTTGGGTCAAGCAAACAATAATGCAATTTAGAATATTCAATAGGGCGGCCATCTTAGATTTCCAACATGGCGGACATGTGCAAACCTAGAAGTGCCGATATCTCGGCTTCCAAACCAGCTACTCTCAATATTGGTGTATAAACATACATTTTCTGGGTCAAGAAATACAATAATACAATTTAGAATATTCATAATGGCGGTCATTATGACAGAGTTATGAAACCCCATACAACACTTCAGTTGCCTACTTCTCGCATCGACAACTACATAGTTCAGTGCATTTCCAATGGGCTCGGTTGCATGCACATTTAGTGCCACAGCCCCTGAGACTTGCAACCACACACAACGAGTTCACTGCAAGCTTTGGAAGCCACAGGTAAAGTGTTCCAAACTGGAACCCAGGATTGGTCATCTTTGTTAAGAGTCTAGCCCCAACCAGCAGGGCTTGGAGCATGTTGTTGGGTCTGCAGACTGGTGGACCATATACCAGCCTGGTAGGCAACCCGCTTCGAATGCTGCAGCAATGCATCCTGCGTGGGTGGAATGGTCTCCATTGTCTTTCCCTTCTGACAGTACAATGCTTTCCTTGCTTTATCAACACGATGTAGATCACTGGTCTTATCATACAGAATAACTGTAAAGCGTTCCAATAGATGGAAGTGTGGTGCATCTGCATGTACTTCGGTGTAAGGGTTGAGCGCCATGTACGTGAAGGCTTTAGTTACATCAGGGTAGCACTTCCATGCTTCCCATGCTGACTTTTTACCCTTTCCATAAAACGCGGAAGTGGTGTCGCATCCTGTGAAGCTATGGAAGAGAGGCAGCACCAGGGACTTATCTTTTCCCAGGAAACCATATATCCCATTGATGTGGTGATAGGTGAAGTTTTTGCCCGTGCCAAAGGCAACCCGAACGTTCACAGCTGGATCCAATTCGATCAGATGTTGAAACTTGCCAATGATGATGACCAGAACATCAGTGTCAACAGTACGTACCAGACAGTTTGTACAACCATTCAGTATGGCATCTTGCATATGAATTAGCAGTCTGGTGTCGGCTTCCTCATGGTCACATAGTGGCATCGAACGATTGGTTCCTCAAAGAATGGTCATTGATCCAGATGTTATGACGACTTCCTTGTTTGGAGGTCAGTCCAAGGTAGCAATCTTGTTGGAGAGAAATGCAAAGAGTTTCTGTTTGTTTGTTGCATCACGTAGGAATTTAGCCCAGTTTCCTGGGAGCTTGTTCTTACCAGCAACCATTCGGCGAATGCCCTTTCCTCGTTTTTCTCTCGTGGATTCCTTAATGCTGCTGGCAATATACGTGTCCCATACTATATCAACTCTGTTGGCATGTTCTAACTGTTTCATGATGTATGGAACAAAGACACCGTTAGCATAATCTTCAAATGTTACACTGCCGGCACAGGGAAGAAAGTGTACCACAGCAGCACCATCGAGAAGCTTCACATCGAAGGACTCCGGAGGATCACCCTGATTGTCCAGGGTCAAAATGTTCAGCAGATCTGATTTTTTTCCTAGACTTCCCACCATCACACAGTGAAGGGGGGAATGCATGGTTCTCGTGTTTGAAGAATAAACTCATGTCACTCTTTCTGTGCTGCATTATGATGTACAAGCGAGAGAACAGGGCAACATCGTTCTTCAGTAATGAGATCGTCCCAGCTGGTTTTGTCTTGAATTTTCTCCGTGGGCACCGGAAGAGAGAAAGAGCGTTCTTCTTTATGGCCACATGAATTGAGAGTGTACAGTCAATTGTCACTTCTTTGCAATATTTTTCATACTGATCTTTTCCTAATCCCTGAACTGTTCGGACTGTATTCACAACAGACTCATCCA